CCAAGTGCATACGGGTGATGACCAGAAACTGTTAATCTAGTATCCATAGCATTACTATAAAGGAAGTTATTAACACTGTTGTAGAGAGGAAAAACTATCACCATATGTTTTAAAGAATCTGGTTGTTTCTGTAAAGTATAGGTCTGTTCTGAATAATAGGGTTGCAATCCTAAAGCTAATGTTGGTTACTATCGAGTGTCACTTTATTATTTGTGATTTGTTGGTGTGTATCACTCACCATCATGCCCCAAGTTGAACAAAAAATGTGGCCTAACTAACTAACTAATGAATGAATATTTGCTGTAAAATTCTTATCAGTGCTATAAGTGTAGCTAGAAATTTGTCTGCCAATTTTGATTTAATTTCTTTAAGTCGCATGCACAGTCCTTTTTTGGCCACACCTAACGTATTTTTGATTAGATCTATATCAAAGGTAAGCATTTTAAAATCTTAAAATATTTCACAAATATTTCAAATTTTCAATGCTGAAAATACATATAAATATCAAATATAACAATATTATATTTTATTTTGCAGAAACTACATAATCTGTGAACTTAATCTCAAATTTCACAGTATTGTCTAATAGCTTTATTTTCCTGTGCAATGACACAAACAATGTGTTTTAGTGTATTAATTTGACAAACCTAAGTATTTTAGAGTTACTGTTTTGTTTGTTATATAATACAGAATACAGCTGTTTTTCATTGTTTAAAATATTTAAACTATTAGTTGAACACATTGGGCATTAACTTTTAACAATACAGTTGTACTTATGTATCCATTTAGCCTAAAATTAACATTTTTATTACCGACATCTGGATTTGTGTGAAAGAGGCCTAGATAGCTACTTTCACAGAAATATAGTTATGTAGTTAAAAATCTCGTTTTGAAAATAATTTGTGTAATAATAGACTATTATAATCTCTTTTTTTTTAGTTCAAGTGAGCTATAACCTATGTTAACATGGATGGTTTTAAAATTTTAAGACTGTGAAAAGTTAAATTAATGTTAAGTGAGATTATTTTCATTTATTACAGTTCTAGGCTCTGCCTCTCCATCCCTGGTATGTATGCTGTTCATGTAGTTGTAATATTCTGGTAGTTTACATTTTATTGTGGTATCACATCTGATCCATAATAGTTTAAGACTACTTGTATCCCTATTGTTAAAACCATTACACTTGTAATGTTTAAAGGCTCAGACTTCAAAAAGTAATTTTTTGTTGTAGTGTTCATGCATTGATTTAGCTAGTTTAATGTCATTAAGCTTTAAAATATCCTGAAATGTTTTGTAAGTGTAATTGTGTGGCCAGAAATTTGTTGCCATTTTTATTTTTGTGTTTTAAATTTATCATTGTTTATCAGTACCTGGAACATACAACCCAATTTTTTTTTCTGTTCGTCTCAAAAGTATTTTTCCCTTATACCTTCCAATAAAATACTTAGGGTTCCAGCTGTTGCTAACCAAATTTCCAAATGCACTTCAAATATGACATTATTTGGGGAATTCTTATTTACCTTCAAGGTAAATATTAGCCTACAAACACAAAAAAACATTTCTTCATCCAATTTTAAAATAAAGTGAGAAAAAACTACCCTTAACTCTTTCCATGTGGGGTTGGGTGACGTGACTGAGCATGTCACCATCAGAATTTCTATACTATAACTTTTAATAGGTTTTGTATATCTTCACAAAATTTGGCAAGCTTTCATTAAACAATACAAGTATTTTTTACACAAAAAATCTGACTTTTAGTTAAGTATGTTTACTAAAGATTTGTCTGTGAATGTATGGTATCAAAGTGTTGACTGCTTCAAGTGCAAAGTGATTTTCATGTTAAATTAAAAATATTTTCTTCATCTGAAAATTTTGAAACTTCATTTTCATAACCTCTAAAACCTTCTGAATAAATATCAAGAATTTTTTTTCCCGGTAAAACTATATTTTATCTGTCATTTTCTCTAGCCTAACTATGTATGGACTGTTGATTTGACTGACCTTGTAACCATCATGAAAAAATGTGAATAAATCTAATTAACCCTTTTTTTCATTCTAGAATGACAGCAGATTGTAACTGAAAGCTACAATCGTTTATCTTAAATAGCTTAAAGCTCATAACAGAGTACATCTGATTATACTTAGTTTATTGTTTTATTACCTTTTGAACTGTGTCTAATAATCTTGCCACACGAGGTGTACATAACTCAGCAAATGTGTAGCTCATGTTACTGTATTAAATGATGTAATGCATGAGCTGCTTGTGAGCATATCTCATGCATAATGTTTATTATTATTTTCCTTTATCTTACCTAATCTAATCTTATCTAAACTAACAAGTTTCAAATTTTTACATTTTAGTTTCTTTTATAATTAAAAAAATAAACATGAAAAATAAGAAATATAATACTTATGTGTGATCTCTTGTTTATTTGTTGTCAGTTGCCAATGAAATTAATCCTACTTTTTATAATGATGTACTAGAACACCAGATAATTATTTATTTAAATAATACACCTAAGGACATGAGATAACACTAACAAAG